AGGCCCAGCCAAAAAGTAGCCTGAACCTCCACACTTCCACCACCAGCTATTTGATAAAGTAGGAAGACACTCTTCACATATGTTGGAGTGGTGGAGCATATATCTAATGTTTTGGGGGGTTTGGAGGCTTATTTTTTGTTTTTACTTTTCATGAAGCCATGAGTATCTTTGCATTTTACTGTTTTTATTATCTTACCTATTCACCCCAGCTATCCTGTGTAGAACCCAACTCCACTGTCCTTGCAGAACTTCTCCAACCCCTTATAAATCCTCACACTAATAGGGTGATTTAACATAAAAGAAAGGGTGGGATGAAGCCATTCTATATGTTTCTTTTATCATCTCTCAGAACATATCAAATCATTGTAGGTCCACCAGGTCACAAGCTGTGTCCTCATATGTCTTCCTATTACTCCATTTTAAAGGAGGTCATCTGCCACAGTGGTTCAGGCTTTCATGGCTGGTGGAACTTGACATGATTCAATTCTGTTGCCACTTCAGCAGTGCTGCAAGGAACATAAGTGTTCTAACAGACTGTTTTAGTTGCTAGATCTGCCACAACATAGAACCACAGATTGGGTGGAAGGCCTCTGATGCCTCCTGGCTCTGTCTTTTCAGAGTTCCACCCAGGACATCTTTGATGAGCTGCTCTAAGTGTTCACTTATTCCATCTCCCTTGACAAGCAGCAGGTGCACCAGGCCACCAACAACATCCAGTGCTAGTCTGGGGTGAGAACGGGTCCAGATTCATGTCCAATCTCAGGACCCAGAGATAATCAGGGCAAGCCCAAAACCCAGACTAGAAACAACTGGCTCCCCTGGGGCCTGCTGAGGAAGGTGGTTTTCCCTTGAACCTTTCTCCCCACGTCAGGAACAGACCAAGCCTCATCAGCTTATGGGAAATGCCATGCAGTCCATGCTTTGGACAATTCTCAGGCCCAACATATATGAGCTTGAGAAGCATTTGAGATTCTAACCCTCTGTTTTCTCCTGTCTACAGTGGGGATGCTTACTGATGACTCAATGGCATACTGCTCTTAATAAAGACTATTAATGGAGAGAAATGCTATTGTTGCTCAGCTAACAGAACGTGTTGAAGTGACAGTAGTTTACCATTTCACCCCTAAAACCAATTGTACTTTTAAGCCTAGAACCTTTTTCTAGGTGGACACTCAAGTCCCTTCTCTTGCACAAGTTCCTCAAGAGATGGGAGTCTCTGGTCTGAGCGCCAGACCCTGATCTTCCCGGCGGTTCATGGTGTTGAAGCTGACTACATTGCATCTACCTGGTGGGAAAAGGAATTGGCCCTGTCCCTGGATGACGCCTGCATGATGCTGATGCTCAAAGAAGGCACAATGGAGAATTTCATACAGTACCTGGTACCATCCTTCCCAGATAGAAACAACTCAAACATCACAACCATTTTCTGCATATACTAGGTGTTCATTTCAGCCCAACAGGTCCTGGGCCAGCAGTTCCAACAGGTGAATGCCCACCCCGTGCACAGCACAGGGGTGAGCCTCCCATCTACTAGTTGTCTTGGGAATGTCACTGCACTTCTCTGACCTTCACTTTCTTCTTCTGAAAAGTAGGGTGGTTAAGAGGATAAACCTCATAGGGTTACTCTAAGAAATCATGGAGGAAACATGGCATAGGCTTATCTGGTGCCTGGCTCCGTGGAAAAGGCTGCTGGACATGCTAGGCATCTTCATTGTTCATAGTTCTCTCTCTCCAGGGAAGAAGCTCTCAACATCAACCCTCACAGGCCTGTGGCCCTTCTGGGTTTACAAAAGGAAATGGAAAGTAGGCAGTTTTCCTATCTGCAAAGGACTTCAAGATTCCATCTAGCTGGTCCTGGTACTTGTCCTTTATGTGACCAGATTAGGGGGTCACTGGGGACAGACAGAGCAGCCGAAGGTCCACTCAGTATTTGGAAGGTACTGGTTGGGATTCATTCATTCAATAATATATATTAGGCACCTAGAAATGCAAGCACTAGTCACTAAGATAACTCAATGGATAAAGTAGATACAATGTCTGGGTCTCAATTCTAGTCAGAGGGTCAGAGGGTCACTCTACATATCATAAGCACCCATGTCCATAGTTCATTAGATGTGACATCTTCATGGCCTACTCTAGGTATGAATGGATCCATCCATATTTGAGCCCTTATGATGGACTATAAGATCAAGTAAAAACATGATGGGTCTTTTGGTCCAGAAGGAAGGCCTGCTGCCTCCACAGAGCAAGGTGGGAGACTACAGGGGTTATGGATGGGGAAGGACTTTCAGAACCATGGATCTCACAGATCTCTTGATTTCCATGGGAGGGCTTAATTTGGGCGGCTTCCTGTGAAGAAGCAAATGAGTCAAAGAGAGCTATGGATGGGGCCCCAAGCCCTCTGGGAAGCAGAGCACAGTCTTTGCTGAGTTTGTGCCTAAAACACCCATGCCCTTGATGGTCCCATCTTGCTCTGCCTGCCCCTTTCCATACCCACCTCTGCTGACCACCACAACTGGAGCCAAGAACAGAAGTGAGCAGACCACTCACAAATCTGCCTCAAACTTAAGCCCTGGTACTGGTCTGCATGGAGGATAGAGTAGAAGAGGCCATGGCCATGAAGAGAAGAGTATAAGTGGAAAAACCAGACTCATACAGATTTTCGGGATGACCAGGCTTTCCACTGCAAGGACAGCTACAGAGGGGTTGGAAGTAGACTGGGGCCATCCTCTAGGACTCACACAGAAAGAATGGTGTTGTAGGAGTACCATGTGGAATGAAAGGCCATGCCTCTCACTGCTCCACATATGACTCTCCCCAGCACCCTGTCTCCCATCTTGGGTACCTGGCCTGACCAGAAATTGCAGGATATCTGGCAGTCCCTGCACTGTGCCCATTTCGAGGTAAAATGGGGTCTATGTGCACCTGAAGTGGCATGACTGGGGAAAATGTCCCCTTCTCCTGCTGAAGCAGGAACTTCTGGAGCCCACTGAGGCAGAGTCAGAGGGTAAGGGGGATTGCAAGTTGGGAAGGCTATCTGTGATGGGGTTCATGGGCTATGGAATCTGTCCTGTTTTTGGAAAGGCACATGAAAAGTCAGTTATGTGGATGAACTTTTCTCTTTCTCCTGCCCCAGTGCTGGCTCCATGGCTCCTTCCAGATGCAGAACCAGAAAAAAGGCCTCCTATGGAGCTAGAGGCAACCCCAGCTCTGTGTCAACCATCACCTCAAGTGTCAGAGTCAGCCTCACCTCCATCAGCTGTTCCAGAACTGGAACAAGTGCTCTCATCTTCTGTATGTGTGCCGGCTCTTGAGCGGCAGTCAGCTTGACCATCATCTTTCCTGGGAATTTTAACTCCATCTCTAAAAAGGGAGACAGAGGGGTGCCTGGATGGCTCAGTCGTTGAGCGTTTGCCTTTGGCTCAGGTCATGATTTCGGGGTCCTGGGATCGAGCCCCGCATCGGGCTCCCTGTTCAGCGGGAACCCCGCTTCTCCCTCTCCCACTCCCCCTGCTTGTGTTCCTTCTCTCACTTTGTCTCTCTCTGTCAAATAAATAAAATCTTGAATAAATAAATAAATAAATAAAAATAGAGACAGAGCCCACTCTGGTCCCAGAGGCTTCCTGCCACCAGTGTGTAACCCCAAAGAACCAGCTGAATGAAGAGAAGCCCGACCTCCTGGACTTCCCTCCCAAGCTGGTGGCAGAGCAACTGACATACATGGATGCAGTGAGCAGCTGGGCTCTCAGGGTGGGGCAGGGGCAGGCTTTTCTTCCGCTCTCAGCGGCCCCACACCTGCCTTTCCCTGATGTGGACTCCTATGGCCTGGGATCAAATCTCAGCTCCACCACTTACCAACCCTGTCAACCCATATGGTCTTTAATCCAAGCTTTCACTGTCCAGCTGCGGAATGTAGAGATAGACACTAAGAATTGATGCAGAGTTACTGTGTAGAAGAAATGAGCCAGAACAGATAGACAAATGGGCAGGCCCTGGTCCCTTGGGTGGAGAAGGGCAGCTCCCTGTGTGCAACCAATTCCATAGGTTGCCCACCCATCTGCCTTGGAGGCTGAACACCCTCAGCATTTATTAAACATCTGACAGGGCAGACAAACCTGTGGTTGCAGCGATCATGTGAGAATGTGCATCTGAAAGGGGAGAAGGACCAGAGGGATGAACAGTTGGAGGGGAAGATGCCCCCTTGGAAGGAGCCACTTTGAACTGCCACCTGGAGCTGGGAGTTGCTGAGGAAGGTCAGGGTGTAAATGCCCTCCTTTCTTCCCTTGTCACTATTTGCTCCTGGGTCATCCTGTACTGGGTTCCCTCAATGAAAAAGAATGGAATGAAATCCAGGATCTCCAACCAGGCTCAGGCCACATTCTCAGGTTCCTGAGCTGAAGCTCTGACGTGTGACCACTATCAAAGACATGAACCTTGCATGTGAAATGACTGGGGGAGCCAACGTCCCACTCTTCTCCAGGAGCTGTTCAAGAGGGTGCTGCTCCAACAGTGCCTGGGCTCTGTCTGGACCAAGCAGAATAAGCCTGGCAATGAGCACCTGGCACCCACAGTCTGGGCCACCGTCGCCCAGTTCAACGGTGTGTCATCACCACCTGCCTTGGCAACACAAGCATGACAGCCCATGACAGGGCCATGGTGGTGGAGAACTGGATCAAGGTGGCCAAGGTATGCTATGGGAGGTCCAGCTGAGTTGCTCTCCTGAGCCTCAGGAACTGCTCTTCCCTTTACCACTTCTCAGGGTTGAATTTTCTGGTCTTAGCCCTAGGGACTGTGCAGTCCCTAGGCTCTTCCTTCCAGGGGCATGTTGATTTTGACTTGCACAGCCCCATGTTGGGATGTTCAGTTCCTATCTGGCTCCTTCCTTGGAGTGAGGTCAAATCCTCCCTCTCCCCAGCAGTGTTACTCTCTGGGCCTTCCACGTGCCCTTCTGCAGGTCCGTGGAGATGTGCTTCATCCAGGATGGAAGATGTCCACTGAGGGAAGCTCTAGAGCATGTAGGGCTCCTGCTCTCCACCTGACAGCTCCTTGTCCCTCCCTGGGCCTGTCAAATCCTGCAGAACTACTCCTCCCTGCATGCCATCCTCACGGCTCTGCAGAGTGTCTCAATTCATCGCCTGAAGAAGACATAGCAGAACGTTTCCAGGTGAGGAGGCCTCTCTCCATGGAGGGACCAGGATGGATGAAGGATCTCCCATAGGCCTGTCCTTTTCCCCCTCAGTCAGCTTGGACCTCCTGGAAGGCAGCAAAGCCTGGCAATAGGACTGGACTGGTGGGCAGGTCTTTCAGCTCCCCCTGGGAATAAGCCACCAAGCCTCCTGCTTTTGAAATCAGTTTTCTTAAATGTCCCACACTGGGCTGAGCTGAATGAAATATTTTCACATGTTTACTTTACAGCCACTAAACTTTCTGCCCAATGGAAACCAAAATTGACTGAAACAGAGCTGCTCCATTCATATAGGAAGGGAGGCCCAGGATGACCCACATGAGAGTTCCCTCCCATGTCCTACAAAGACCTTAGTGCCCAGAGTATCCCCGAGAAAACCCTCTTCCAGGCAGTTTGACACTTGGGGTTCTCAAATAAAAGGGACTTGCACTCAACCCTGCCACATTATTCCTACATTGATCTTTCTTTCTTTCCCTCTATTCAGGAAGAGCTTTCAAAACTTTAAAGAGCTGTGTGCAGAAGACAACCCCCAGGGCAGGAAACTGCTCATCAAAGTAGCATGGAAGGTGCAGGTCTGGACAGAGAGGAGGGCTGTGAGGGAACAGGGTCCTGCATGGCTGAAGTAGGGAATGGCCTGAAGCATTCCTTGGGGAGGGAAAGTCTTTGGCTTGAACGTGGTGACAGCCGGGGGCGGGGGGGGGAGATTCCATTGGGGCTGGGACAAACAGGTGCTGCCCAACCAGACTCTCTAGCCTAGACCCTCTGTCTCTCTGTGTCAACAGCTGGCTCAGATGGGGGCCTGTACAAACTTTGAGCGCCCAGAGGACAGGCCTCTGCTCAGGGATGGGGTTGGGATGCTTTGAGGGCCACATTAGTGATGATAGTAAGAGGACCCTGAGTCCTCAGGAGACCGTGGGAGGTAGGTGGAGTTCTCACTTTTCCTGATGAGAAAACAGGCTCAGGGAGGCCAGGCTGCAAGCTCAAGGTCACACATGGAGTGAGGGTTGGAGCTGAGATTGCTCTAGAATCACTCTTGGCATGCCTCAGGGTAATGTAGCATCAGTATCAGCTGAGTTAAGTCAGATGTGTAGGGTCTGAAATCAAAGATGGTGGGGGCAAGTGGACTGAGGGTACTCTGGTCTCAAGGAACTTGTCATTGGGCCTGCAGGAGTGGCCATCTAATAAATTTGCCAGCCTGGTGATGGACCTCCAGAGAGCCTGGAAGAGGGTGCAGAAGAAGGTGAGTGTGCCTGAGGGCCTCCAATGTCAGAGGAGAGAGGCTCCTCCCTGAGGGCTGGAAGCCTCCAAACCAAGACAGGTGGGACTTCTGACTCCAGTTCCACCTCCTCTTGCCACAGCTTCTAAAGTCCTTATTTCAAAGTGACCAGGAGGAGGGTCTATAAAGCTGGATGCAGAATGAGTTTGTGGGTGGGGAGGGGCCAAGGGCTACATACCCTGTGATTTTCTAAAAGCAGGACCTGGAGGTTATTAGGAGGAGTCTGATGTTCTTGGAGGGTGAAGGGAAAGGGAATTGAGGGGAGGCTGCTAAGGGTCCTAGGCCGCTCCATATAGGGTTGGCCTGGAGGTTGAAGCATTTTCAAGGGAGGGTCCCTGTGGGCACCAGAGAGCAGGGACTCATCCCAACCTTACCCCTCATGACACAGGGTGTCGTCCCCTACCTTGGCACTTTCCTCACTGACCTGATGATGCTGGATACTGCAATGGAGGACTATCTGGAGGTGGGTGAGCCTGAGGATTGCGGAGGAGGGCCCAGAATTCTGCAGTTTGGGGGCAGAGAGCCCCTGTCCTGAACCCTGAGCTCTCAGTACTTGGCAAACCTCCCCTTATGACGGGCGCCCAGCTCACCCTGTGAGCTGGCGTCTCTTGCCCATCTCAGTGATGAGTGAGGGGAGGCTGCACTTAGGACACTGGCCCCAGTGCCCAAGACTGGCGAAGCAGCAGAGCTTCCTGAAGGCAAAGCTGCATGAGGTCTCTCTGAGTGGACCTCAGCCTCTCCCTCTGAGGTTGCCTGTGGGGGGGGAGAGTGAAGTCAGGACCCTCCACATCAGCAAGAACTTCGGTAGCCTAGCAGCCCCTTCCTGCCTGAGGTTTCGACCTCCCCTTCTGTCAGAGAGGGTTGTGTGACTGGGTCCCTCCCTGTAGCTGGACCATATGCCCCGTGTCCTCCTTTCTCTGGACCCCAGAGTCTGGCCTAGATCCCACTCCCGTTATCTGTGTATGCATGGTCCCCTCATGTGTCCTGGCCTAAGTGCAGATTGAGAAGTGGTGGGAATAAAGTGCTGGTAATAACCAGGGGGCTCTTTCTGATGAACTTTGGTTGTCTGTTTTCCAGGGGAATGAGATCAACCACCAGAAAAAGAATGTGAGCGTAGTGGCACTTCCTGTAGAGGATAAGGAACTGGATATCAGAGATGTCCCTGGGAAGAACATTCCTTGGCTCCATCTCCTCCATTTCACATTTACAGGGACTGGTTGATAATAAAGAGGTGGAAGACCCATCCAGTTAGTAAGTGGGGAGAGAGGAATGGCATCAAGGATAACTTCCTGAAGGAAGGGCTATTTATACTCACCTCTGAGAACATGTTGTGACTGGATGAATTTGCAGGCAGGAGGGTGGCCATGTGTGTCCCCAGTCCCGCTGCTCAACCCTCACCAGGCCCTGAAGCTTCCCCGCCCAGGCCCTGGAAGCATCCTGTGCTTCTCTCTCGGCCCAGGAATACAAAGCCATGACAGAGATCATGCTGCTCCAGGAGGCTGCAAAGAATTACAACCTAGAGCCCAAGGATCCATTTCGGGCCTGGTTCCAGCTCAGCGAGGATGAGAGGTGAGGCCCATCAGGACCTGGGTGAAGGTCGGGCTGGACTCTTTCTGCTGGCCACTCTGGGGATCCTTCTTCCCTGGGCAGCCTCAGGCCTTGTTGCTGGGGCGCCAGACTCCAGATGTGGGAAAACACTGGGAGGGACTCCTGAATGGCAGCTCCTGGTCAACTCAACAGATGTCACTCTGTCCTTAGCTACATCCTGTCCTGCCGGCTGGAGCTCTGGTCCTAGCTGGCCAGCAGAACGCAGAACGAGAAGAACTGGCCACAGTCAACCTCAGGACTGAGCGCGTGTCCAGTGGCAGTGCCACATTCCTCAGCAGTTGGGGTACTCGTGGCGCGTGCACCACATCTGCTCAACACCCCTTCCTCCCATGTCTTTACTTATGGGGGGAGGGTAAGTGGTAGATTTGAATATTTAATTCTCTTAAATAGTAAGTGGTAGGTTTGAATATTATTATATTAAAGCCCTTTTTCTTCTAGAGCCCAGGAGTGTGGTTTGGTTCTTTTACTTCCTACAGTAATGTAAAAGATGTATAGACTCTCATATTCATTCCTGAGCTAAGGAAACTTGCAGAATCATCTGCTCTTGTATGTGGGAGGAAGGAGAAGAGCCAGCCCTCCTCCCTAGCTACCGGAGGGCACCTGCAAAATCCCCTTATTCAGAGGACATGTTCATTTCAGTATAATGAATTTGGACAAACAACAGAGACAGCCCCTCAGAACTCCTGAGATTTAAAGGTTAAAGTTCCTTTCACAGGAATAGCAACAACCACTGAAATTGTGAGTCTTTAAGAGTTACACTCCCCAGGGGTGCCTGGGTGGCTCAGTCCTTAAGCGTCTGCCTTTGGCTCAGGTCATGATCCCCGGGTCCTGGGATCGAGCCCCTAATCGGGCTCCCTGCTTGGCCACCGAGCAGGGAGCCTGCTTCTCCCTCCCCTAATCCCTCTGCTTGTGTTCCTGCTCTCGCTATCTCTCTCTGTCAAATAAATAAATAAAATCTACTACTTCCTGCCCAGGACAGGGGCTGCCTTTCTCCACTATGAAGGAAGGAAGACTATTTCCTGCTTCCTTTGTTGACATGGTGTTTTGGGTTTTGGTTTTGTTTTGACCCAGTATTTGGAACTAGTAGTTTTCTAAAAAGTTCAGTCTCTGGAACTGCATCAGCACTAAGTGGGGAAAAACATGGAAAGAGATCAAATCCTGCATGTGGAAGGGACAAAACCAAAGGAAAATACTTTGCAAATGGACTAAGGGCAGGCAGGACTTTCCATCCTCAGTCTCGCTCTAGGGGCTCCAGTTTCACTCTTTACCAAAATTGGAATCCTCCTGGGATCCTTGTCAATGATCCCTGGATTCTTTTTCCTGCTTGTTTTGTACGTGGGGAAAAGATGGGTGGTGTACCATTAAGGTCACAGCTGGGCCTGGTTCCATTAACATCTATGCTGACCTAGGATCTAGGATTTCCAGCATTCCTACATTTCCTTATGCAGTTATTTTTAAGACAGGAATTCCCTCAAGGCCCCAGCCTTTTGGTCAGATACATGGGAGCCACTGTTCCCTGGCTGGGACCTGATGGATCAGGGATTGGTTCTCTCGTGCCAGGATAATGGTCCATATCCTTGACCAGAGAAACCCCACACTCTCCTTGCTGGCCCAGGTGACTTTTAGGTCCGTATTGTTCTGAAGTCCATGGTCTCAAACATTCACCAGTTTACACATTCAGTCTCAGTTTACACTCTTAAAAATTGCTAACTGAGCTTGACCCCCTAGATCTTATAGCTCCTGAGATGGCTCTGCTCTTTTCCAGTCTTGTGCTTAGGTTATGTCAAGGGGTACATGAACCTTTCCTGTCAGGAGCTTTGAAAGATGATGAATGAGAGGGGAAGAATCAGGGGGTTCCATCAGGGGAATGCCACCAAACTGATGACCAGAGTAATCATATGGCAATAAATACATTCTTATCAATAATTGCTTTGCATGTTTTTAAAATTTATTTTATTTTATATTATTTTTTATTATTAACATATAATGTATTATTTATTTCAGGGGTACAGATCTGTGATTCATCAGTCTCACACAATACACAGCGCTCACCATAACATATACCCTCCCCAATGTCCATCACCCAACCACCCCATCCCTTCCACCCCCTTCTGCTCCAGCAATCCTCAGCTTGTTTCCTGAGATTAAAAGTCTCTTATGCTTTGTCTCCCTCTCTGGTTTCTTCTTGTTTCATTTTTTCCTCTCTTGCCCTATGATCCTCTGCCTTGTTTCTCAAATTCCACATATCAGTGAGGTCATATGATAATTGTCTTTCTCTGATTGACTTACTTTGCTTAGCATAATACTCTAGTTCCATCCACATCATTGCAAATGGCAATATTTCATTTTGTTGATGGCTGCATAATATTCCATTGTATATATATATATATACCACATCTTCTTTATCCATTCATCTGTCGATGGACATCAGGGCTCTTTCCATTTTGGCTATTGTGGACATTGCTGCTATAAACATTGGGGTGTAGAACACCTACACCTTTGGATTACTACATTTGTATCTTTTGGGTAAATACCCAGTAGTGCAATTGCTGGGTCATAAGGTAGTTCTATTTTCAACTTTTTGAGGAACCGCCATGCTGTTTTCCAGAGTGGCTGCACCTACTTGCATTCCCACCAACAGTGTAGGAGGGTTCCCTTTTCTCCACATCCTTGCCAACATCTGTCAATCCCTCACTTGTTAAGGTGTAAGGCGGTATCTCATTGAGGTTTTGATTTGTATTTCCCTGAGACCAAGTGATGTTGAGCCTTTTTTCATGTGTCCGTTGGCCATTTGGATGTCTTCTTAGGAGAAGTGTCTGTTTCTGCCTTCTGCCCATTTCTTGATTCAATTATTTGTTCTTTGGGTGTTGAGTTTGATAAGTTCTTTATAGGTTTTGGATACTAGCCCTTTATCTGATATGTCATTTGCAAATATCTTCTCCCATTCTGTCAATTGTCTTTTGGTTTTGTTGACTATTTCCTTTGCTGTGCAAAAGCTTTTTATCTTGATGAAGTCTCAATAGTTCATTTATGCTTTTGTTTCCCTTGCCTTTAGTGATGTGTCCAGGAAGAAGTTGCTGCGGCCAAGGTCAAGGAGGTTGCTGCCTGGGATTCTCCTTTAGGATTTTGATGGATCCCTGTCTCACACTTAGGTCTTTCATCCATTTTGAGTGTATGTGTAAGGAAATGGTCCAGCTTCATTTTTCATGTGGCTGTCCAATTTTCCCAATACCATTTGTTGAAGAAACTGTCTTTTTTCCATTGGATATTCTTTCCTGCTTTGTGGAAGATTAGTCAACCATAGAATTGAGGGTTCATTTCTGAGTTCTCTATTCTGTTCCACTGATGTATGTGTCT